ATCAGATTATGCAATAAGAAGATAAATGGATAGTGAAGCGTGTATTTGAAAAAATGTTATTTCAGTGTCTACAATTTTCCAAGCTGTTGACCTATTTACCAACATGAAATATGGATTCAAGGCATTGTTAATATCATAACAACTAGTACACCTGTCATCACACTATCAATTTGTACTTTTTACTTATTATGTTTATTTATGTAATCTATTCCACTGTTATTCCTTTTTCCTTAAACAGGTGATCTGTTAATCATAAAGATGTCAGTATTCATTTGTGACTTTTTTTCACAGTGTTCCTTATTTAAAGAATGCCTAACATGAAGAAGCAATTAAAAACACATTTCACCAGAAAATTAATTATGTCACAAAGATGTACATTCTAATGATTAAAACTCAATATCACATACAAACTACCGGTCAATTAAGTAGTAAGTTAGCAAGCTACACTGGAAATACAATCGACAGGGTTTCTTGCTTTCTATTGACTAATTGGCAGTATTAATCAGCTCTCATAGAAAGTCCATTAAGGATTTATAATTACTTTCCACAATCTAACCGATTAAGTTTTTCTGTTAATATCAACAAGCACAATAAATGTAGTACAGTAGTGAACGAGAACACAAATGGGGATAACCGCATGTGTTTGAATACAAAATTACAAAATCTCTTAGTAAAATCCGTGAACTATACAGAGAATACTTCATTTGCAAAATATTAGTTAATCGTCTCAGATTTTGTTATTCCTTCGTTTCCTCGTCCTCTTTCCTTCGATCTTCTTAACGTTCTACAGTCAAACACTTCACTTTTGATCGATAATATATACTACTTATATCTATCGACATCAGTAGCACACATCATAGTACTACGCTACAATATTCAATTGTAGTCAGCTGTTTATATTGTTGATAATTTTAAAAAAATATTTTCTAGAACTTTTAATGAATTTTATTTTTACTTCAAAATGTTGACTGGTGTTTATTTATTGATAATTGATCAATATGAACTGATTATAAAAATAGTAATAATAATCATTAACAATTTTGTTTTAATCATGAATTTACAAAAAGTACTTTATTAGTACACTGAATCATTAACGATACTGGCGTTATTTCTATGCAATAAATTAATTGTTAATTATATTTGATTATATTTACGTAATTGATAAACGATTTATCAGAAATCTGTGTTACAATGTATAAACAAACCATTAGTTAAGTGAAAAATATAAACTAATCACTTGACAAACTATTTAAGTTCTACAATCAATTTAGATATAATAATAGTAATAATAATAATAATAATTGAAAAGATAGTTCGTTAAATCTATTGTTAATATCAATTGTATATGGCATGAAAGATAAATTAAACATTTTGAGATGGTGGAGAAATTGATCCAATTTATCAACCAATCACGAAAATTATGCACAAATATAGGAACACAAATCAAACCAATGTGAGATACAACCAAAACAAAGAAGTAAACAATAACTGGTTTAAGGTCAACAAGAACCAATCAACATCGAGATCTACAGGATAGGTTGTGAACCACATGTGGAGAATTTGGAACGCTTCACATCTGTCTGAAGTTTGTGTTGATGATATCGTTCAGAAGAACGATGAAAGCTCCACGACCAAATTATCCAGCTCATAGAACAAAACTCCATCAAAATAAACTAAACATGTTTTTCTACAAACTACTCAATGAAGTATAAAAGTTGCCTTAGGCACAGGATTAATTTGTCAACAAGCGAGACTGTCAAGATAGATATTGCCTAATCGTTTACAATGTTTAACAGTTTATTTTGTTTTTTTTTCAGAAATTTCACAAGTTGAAATCATGAGCCAATTGAAGCTAGACCACCATGGAAAACCTGGAAGCACTGGACGGCCGTTTCGTCCTAGTATGGGACTCCTCAGCAGTGCGCATCCACGAACCCGCCCCCCCCCGCGGGATTCGAACCCAGGACCTACTGGCTTCGCGCGCGAGCACTTAACCATTAGATCACTGAGCCGGCATCCAACGGTGTTAATGCCTAACTTCAACCAATATTATATATACATATATATAATCATGTTATTTTATTAAATAGGAAAAACCTGTTTTGCTGAGAAGCTATTTTGTCTTTCAATATCTATTCAGTTGGTGGTTACGTCAGTATAATTCGGTCTCGTAAGCAGTTATCAGTTGGATAAATCGTATTGTTGCATAATGTCAGTCGATTAGATTATTTTATTCATAAATATAGTAATTCCTAAACGTTTGTTCATTAAATCATAAAACCTTATTCATCAACAAATACACTACCAACCTAATTATATTTGTAGAGTTATTTAGAGAAAAACTTTCTGTAGCAATATTCTTGTTCTTCTATATAATGTGAATAAATTTTAGTGAGACGGTGTCCAGAAAAACATATGCCAAATCTAATTTAACAGAAACATTATATATATACTTTTATTACACTGTTTGAGCCCCGTAAATATCTTCACACATGCTACAAAGAGATACTGAGAAACCGATTTGATGGACACTATCACGCTGTATGTAATTAATTACAAAGCTTAATATTAGTTTATGAAGCCATATATACCTCATAAAAAAAGGACTCAATGTAGTTAATCGAATTCCCTAACCCACTGATTATTCTCGAATTATTTACATTGGATGTATGGTGAGAACAGGTAGCTAATGAAAGATATTGACGCTCCTATAAATTTATTTACACTGTTTGAAATTAGGCGGCTGGAGTCAGAGGCTATAGGAAGTTAGGTTTCCTATAAGTCAGTACACGTTAGCAAAGTGTACTTCTAGTCTTGAAGGAAGTGATGCACCATTCGGAATCTGGACTTTCGCCATAGCCAGACATTACTACCTATCTCATGTAGAATTAGGGTGTTTATACGTGATTTGTTGAGTCAGTATTAACAATTGTCACTGAGTAAAAATTAGTGTTGATTGTATGCTCTCGAAAAAATTGACGGACCCTAATTATTTTTCCACAAATTACACCTGGGACTGCATAACCACTTAGAAATGAGTTTCGGCAAAGACTATCAAATGTAATTATGAACTTAGAGAGTGCTAACTAGAGACAAGTCGTACTAAACAGACACAAAAGTAGGTATTGTAAGTCAAATACCACCGTTAGTAAAATCTGATTAGGAAAAGTTCGTACCAATGGATCACTGAAGACATTACTTCAACGTTTCCATTCATTTGAATAAGGAATAGGAGCGTTACTATCTATCTCGTTTTGACATAACACGTACATACCAGCAGGATCGAAACTTTTGGATTGGTTCAATATGGGACCAGTTCGGAAGTCACGGAACAACAAATGTGGGTGACTAATAAATACTCCTAAACGACCTATAGTTACTCGCAAATATGCTCTTCACTACCTACGAAACCCTACACTACATGTCCTTAGAAAAATCCGCAATGCATCGGTTACCTGGTGCATGTTTGTTCGACGACGAACCATCCAGATTTCAGATAACAGACCTTCGACTTGGGAGCGAAACTCATGAATCAATATTTGCAAATAACATTCCGTGTTATAGCTTATGTAAATTGGTGATGAGAACACTAGAGTTAATTCTTAAACTTAACGTTCAACTGGAAATTCTGATCCTGACACCTCACACTAATTTATAACCCCATTAAGTACGTAGAGATTGTCAGAGTTATTATAGTGTCGCTAAGAACTCATCCATCAAGTCTCACAAAATTGAACTGTCCAAAACTGATTTCGGCGAAACGAGCGCAACCACTTCATAGACCACCTGACAGGCACCCCGAACACAATCATAATCGAAGTGCCGAACTGTGGTGCAAGTATGGATCATTATCCCACCAGCCAAGACTTAAAGCAGTTAAGAAAACAGGTCAAGAATGCCAGCGGTGCGGAAGTCCGACCCACATCTATTTTATTTACGCACATAAACACTGGCCCAAGTGTATATGCGCCTACCTTGGTAATCCGACATGCATAGCGCCCCCGGTGAGCAGGGACATCTAACTACCTATTACTGAATACACTGGCTAGCATCACAAAGCGAACAAATATCACAAAACTGCCAGAAACTTAATGTTTACAAACAACCAACCAATTATACACTCAAACATTGCCTGTTCGTTGGTGAGGACGTAACCGAGCCAACCCACCAGACACCGCGACTTGTGATGTCTCATAGACCTATGATAAAGCTAACTGTAAACACCATAGCATCCAAAACACATTCAGATAGCATCAAGAACAAAACAAACCATGAGTCACGAAAAATCTTTATTCTGTGATATTACTTATACCATTTGTACAGACTAGTGAAGTCAGATTAAAAACATTTACGGTGAACAATACTTGGACCAGATTCATCATATTCCTGTTTGGAAATCCACATCTGTTGGAATGTTGATAATGAAGCCAAAATAGAACCACCAATCCATACAGAGTACTTCCTCTCAGGTGGTGCAACTATTTTAATCTTCATAGTGCTGGGGGCTAGAGCGCTAATCTCCTTTTGCATACGGTCAGCAATACCAGGATACATTGTACTTCCACCCGACAATACTGTGTTGGAATAGAGATCTTTACGGATATCTACATCACACTTCATGATGGAGTTGTAAGTGGTCTCATGAATTCCTGATGCTTCCATTCCCAAGAAGCTAGGTTGGAAAACAGCTTCTGGACATCTGAATCGTTCATTACCAATAGTGATAACTTGACCATCTGGAAGTTCGTAACTCTTCTCCAAAGCAGAACTCGATGCTGCAGTACCCATCTCCTGCTCAAAATCCAAAGCAACATAACAAAGCTTCTCCTTTATATCTCGGACAATTTCACGTTCTGCAGTAGTAGTAAAACTGTAACCTCTCTCAGTCAGGATCTTCATCATGTAGTCGGTAAGATCTCTACCAGCAAGGTCCAGACGCAAAATGGCATGGGGCAATGCATAACCTTCGTAAATTGGAACCGTGTGGGTCACACCATCACCTGAGTCCAACACGATACCAGTTGTACGACCGGATGCATACAGTGACAACACCGCCTGAATAGCAACATACATAGCTGGGACATTAAAAGTTTCAAACATGATCTGTGTCATCTTCTCACGATTCGCTTTTGGGTTCAATGGGGCTTCTGTCAACAACACTGGGTGTTCTTCTGGAGCCACTCGCAACTCGTTGTAGAATGTATGGTGCCATATCTTCTCCATATCATCCCAGTTAGTCACAATACCATGTTCAATCGGGTACTTTAGAGTCAGGATACCACGTTTCGATTGAGCCTCGTCTCCCACATAACTGTCTTTTTGACCCATTCCCACCATCACTCCTTGATGTCTAGGTCTTCCAACAATGGATGGGAACACGGCTCTGGGAGCGTCATCTCCGGCGAAGCCAGCTTTGCACATACCAGATCCATTGTCAATAACAAGGGCAGCAACGTCCTCATCCCCCATCTTTGTATAGTGAATGAATGAATGAGTGAATGAATGAGAATAGATACCGTAGTAGATAGTTTTACTGTTATATAAATCTAATCATTACCTTATATGGTCAGATCTATGTCTATTATTTGAAAACCAATCCGTTCTCAATAGTCAAAGCCAATCGCGTTTGTAAATTTCACATATCCATATTTGGTTAAACAATCATAATTTTTAGTGTTAGTGACCAATTAGGTTTCTGTCTGTCTTGCTCACTGAAGTACGAAATAAATTTTATTGATTTTTTCAGCCCAATTTGGCCGTCCGTGAATTTTTCTACCCCGAGTAAGGTCATGTGATTCATGCGGAACCGGTGCAGTTCTGTTGACCTTTACTGACTGAGTTAGCGTGTAGGTCAATCACAAATGTCCACTTGGTACTTCTGGTGTCTTAGGCGTGATTTTTCTTATTTTTTAGTTGACCATAACTAGCTCTGGCTGACACAACACTTAGTTTTCATATAATAATAAACTATTTTTGCTCATTTTCAAATTCAAGAAGTTACGTATAAAAAATAAAGCAGACATTTGCTGACTTAAAAAAAACCCAGTGTTAACGGTTTAATAAAATAAATAACGGTGACCTTGAGCCAAATGAAAATCCCTGAAGATTGGTTAGGAATAGTTACAAATCATCAACTGATGTTGCGTTTTGGAATTTTTTGAAGCAATATAGTGAATCACATATCATATGATTCTGAACTTACCATAAAAAGTGTGTACACCAAACTCTATTCCTTTCCATTAATTTGAATTGCACTAACGCTATGACAATGCAAGCATCAGTGAGAGGAATTGGATAAGTTCTGTGACTAAAAGATGTTATCAGTATAGGGTTATGGTGATTGTTGAGTTTTGATTGAGATCATAAATGGATCAATGTTAGACCACCATTGAAAACCTGTAAGCACTGGACGGCCGTTTCCTTCTAGTATGGGACTCCTCTGCAGTGTACAACCACTAAAAGATGTGTCAAAAATAGAATTCACCGGTAATATGGAAAAAGTCTACCGTAATGGATATAGGGAACGAATAAATTATGGTGGAAAAGTAACAATAGATTTCTGACCAACCAGACTACTTCCTGAACGGGGTAACCCCAATCCATCATTGAGGAAAGGCAGTTCGTTGTTTAATTATGATATGCCCTGTGTCAATTTAGTGTTTGGGTTTTTTTTCATTCTTCTTAAATACTATGATGCATTCAACAGCTGGTCGATCATAACTAGGTGTTTCCAGAAACGTGGAAATCCACATGATCCATTCTGAAGCATGTAGATATTCCAGCTAACATAATATGATATAATAATTTGTTTGGTTTCTGTTGTTTCATATATTCCGAGTTAGTGGACCTATATGACGATCTTCAGTAGAGTCATGAATGAGCCCTAATTTATCATTCAGTTAAGGTGGTTATGGATTAGTCGATTAGCATGAAGATTATAATTTACCATAAATTTATCATAAACACGGAAAATTACTTAAAAAAGAAATAAAAGAATCATACAGAGAAGTTAAAATCAACAAAACGAATCATGCATATGGATCATTTGACAGTTGTTTAACAGGACACATCTTCGATCGTATTCTGTAAAGTAAAGCACAGTGTGAATGGTTTCAAATACCTATCAGGATCTTATCACATAGTAGAACTAGGAAATAGGTACAAACGAGGTGTAGTTTGATATCAAGAGATTACATCAATAAATCCGGGACGTCATCGGTTAAATTGCATTCCTTCGGTCTTTCCTGTGGAACGGAACAAAATCACGATTATTCACTGTCAAATAATAATGTTAGATAGATAAGAAAATTATATAACTGAAAGAAGCAACTGAGATAACTAAAGAAATGAATTTTCGATTTCTAGGATTTTCAGAAATTCGATAGTGGCTTACGCGAATGGAAACAAACTGTTCTCAAACTATAGAGAAATAGAAAGTTGTTTTATTCCCTACCGATTATATATTTAAATGGTAAACATTAATATCACTCACTCACGAACAATGTAAGACATGATATATTATATCAGCGTAAATTAACGCACTTAACATCAACAACATGAAATAGAAAGCTACTAATAGTCGATGGACTAGGCGGCGATTATGTACGCGCAAAATGTTCTAGATACCTCAATGGATGAAGGTCCATAGAAATTATTCACGGTTTCTTAATTTCAGTTAGCATTCTTCTCAAATTTATTTTTGAGTAATTTGTTTCATAGTTGTTTATTTTGAAAGTAGGTCACCGACAAACAGTCAAAATAATCTGATCATCTGGGTTAGACGACCAGTTAACACTTTTTTCCTTTTTCAGAATCTTGTCTGTGAAAATAGATAGACTAGACATACTCAGTAAAATTGATGAATAAATAGTTAGAATGAATTATTTATTTCAAGAGCGGTGCAACATCAAAAGCTTAATTGACCTTAATTTCTCTATAGAAATACATTGAGGCATTTAATAAACTAGCTACACTTTATAAGTTATGCCAGAAAAAAATAAAGTGGCATTATTTGTCTAATTAGACTCATAAAAAGAAAATTTTCTATATTTATTTAAGATTGTTATTATGGTTTAGTAGGAAGGGTTTTTTGTGTATGGAGATTGTAGTGACTTAATAGTTGAATTCATGAAGAAATGGACATCCAGTGCTTCCAGGATTTCCAAGGTGGTTTAGCTTTAATCGACTTATGAATTCTACTATTTATGGTTAAGTTACAATCGACCTTTATTTAAAAAATGCAGAGTTTCTGTTCTAATCAAACAAAGAATAGATTTAAAATAATGTCAAGTCAGTATGTTGTTACTTAACTAAATGAAAGTGAAGTATGGGTACCTCAAATTTCAGTGATCGATATGTATTCCAATTAACGACTAATAGATAAATAAAAGTGTTCTAATGGCTACTGATAATTCTATACTGCTAAGGGAAATATAACTAGAATAATAATAATCAATTAACCTACAGTTTTCGCGCTTAATGTTAAAAAAATTTAATGAATACAAGAGAGCTAATATAAACCAGAAATGAACTTATAAATAGCCAAAGTGGTAGTTAAGGCAACATTCACAATACAACTGAAACAAAATATTATGATAGTCAATTCACAACAAACTAAATGAATACGAGAAATACTTAACAGTGTTTGGTTTGTTCAACTGTTTGCAGGGTATATCAAAATACACTAAGTACTGGTCGAGCAGATAGTGCGCCATATCTTAACCATTAGAGAAAAGAATGATAACAGTGAAATAGAAAAAGTGTTGAATAAGTTATGATGTAAAGATTCAAAGAAAATTAAAGATAATTCTCAGGTTATCTGAGATTTTTTACTGATCGATAAGCATATTGTATCTGGAGCTTCTGAAGCGTAGTGCTACGCCTCACTAAGATCTTAATTACAGACATTTTAGGTTAACTTCAGACACTTGAAATGAAATTTTTTAAATGAAAACTACGTCTCAATATGCAACATTCACTTACCGGATGAGTAGAAAGTGACCAGAAATACCGAATACAATATACTTATTGAACATTGAAAACTTTGTAAATGATCTCAGTCAAATTTTACAGTATTCAATCAAATAGCAGTCAAAATTTTCAGAAAAGTATGTAAAATATGAAGTCAACAAATAAAGGATTAAGTTACGTGCTCTATTCAGTGAGTGCTTGTAATCTCAGTGATCATAAACACAAAGTGCAAATATCACTAACCTTATTTAAATTGTAAATTAGGCGGATTCAGAACTTCTATAAAATTTCAGTTATAAAATTATTTTTCATTTTCTTTTTACTATCTCTGAATTATTCAGTTTATGTGTCTTAGCGAATTTGAATAAAACCAGATAATATAATCAAATAGTTAGCGATTCCTATGAAAATAGTATATTTGACTTGATTATCCTAACGATTATAATCCATCAAGATATCAATAATCATATTACAGTTCCTGAACGTATGTACGTGATTCAGTCTATCTCACCAAGCTTATCAATTCTTATATATACATGTGAAGGAATATTATGTCTATGCCAAAAAGCTATGATCATAAGAGTAAGCTATATAGAATTTGTAACATAATGACACAATGCTAACCCTACCGTACATGTATAGTGTCAGTATTTCGATAACTACATGTTTATAGGAGGTGAATTTATTCCTAAATAAAATTCATATTTAACTACTCTTCGTTTATTAAAGATAGACAGTTTGTGAAGATTATTTAATTTGAAAATAGATTGTTATCAGTGATTAGCTTCAAATGAATAATCATTGAACAAAAATTTTGTCGCACTGAATAGTCGTGATCAGTAGAGTTTAATGATATTAAGTATGAAATAAACCACTCCATCGACACAAGATGACGGTCACGCTACGTACGAAATTGATTTCGTCAAAAAGAAAATTTCCTCTGAATTCTTCATATCTTTATTCAGTGATATAATGGGTTACTTTAATTATCTGAAAACTGACTGTCTTTATACTTTATTGGTTGAATTTATGAGTTGAGACAAAATCTAACCTGATTTCAACATCATCCAATCTCAAAATAAAATTGTCAACACAAATACGATAACAAAGTTTTTTAAAATCATATTAACGTATTTTCAAAGTTTAATTTACCGTTCAATCTAAGCTAGACCACCACTGAAAACCTGGAAGCACTAGTTGACGATCGTTTCGTTCTAGTATGGCACTCCTCGTCAGTGTGCATCCACAATCCCACACACGGGACTCGAACTCAGGACCTTCGCGCGGACGCCTGATCTCTAGACCACTGAGCCAGTATCCAAAGGTGTTAATGTCTAACTCCAATCGATCCATGATCTTACGCAACCATTCATCCATTGTCTGAGGTCCATTATGTAGACTTATTCAAATTATTCTGGGGAAGAACCTCCTTAAATAAAAATCATATAAAGCAGTCATTTGAATAACTAGGTAGTAGTGATAAATACGTTGTTAATAAGGCGTTTCTTTTGAATGACGATGATCTCCCACGATACTTTGTGTGATTCCCCTCCAAAAAAGAATTGATCAAGATAGTTCTCATAGTTCATCAATCACTGTGCTCCTAATGAATATAACAGAGCTAAAAAATCTATGTTTAATAGGAATCAGATATGTTTACTGTCCTTCCTAGTAAAGAGTTACACTTTTTGTTCTCTGCGAAAATGATAGTGTGGTGTCTGTCTAGCTATTAGCGTTGTCCAAGTTCTAACGATTTTGTTGTAATGTTGTCACCAGTCTAAAAGAATCAACATCTTAGTGCACTATATGTTTAGATATTAGCTAGTTGAATGAAATCAAAAAGAAGTCTAGAATCCAGGTTTTGATTTACTTCATAATACGATAAGAAGAGATATTTGAAATTTGAGCTCCCTGAAGGATTCGAACCCACATCACAGTTAGGTATGCCACTAATGAGTAACATGAGAATGATTATCTTCTAGTAGTTGACCAATTTTATGGGTTAATCAGTTTCGGTATAGTATGAGAAGAGGTTTTATGGATATTATAGTCATTTTTAATAGTTGACATCAATAGTCAATTAAACCTAGACCATCATGGAAAACTTGAAAGTACTGGAATAACTCAATACACTGTCATCTCTCAGTTTAAAATTGAGTAGTTCATGTACGAATCTTACTGAATCATTAATCTTTTTTCAGAATTGTAGCTAGTCTTTACTGATCAGTTATAACTATTATAAAATCTAATCATTTTTATTCAATTCTTCCATACTAGAAAGATGTTTACAATGAAATAATGCTCACAAGAATGTACAAAGTACAATCATGTAGGTTATTGTTTACAGATAATTACATATTCTAATTTGTTTAAAATTATTAGTTCATTATTAATGTTGATGAAATGATGATGAAAATGGCCAGATTCATTTAAATATTTACTTAATTAATATTAAATTCATTTATTATTAATTTATACAATCACTAACAGAATTTATATTAAACCAGTTTATTTTTCATATTTTCTTTTTTTATTTATTTTATATTAAGGTCAGTCACCATATTCAGTTAATTAACTCATTGTTAAGTGTTGGTTTCTTGTTACAGAATAGAAAAAAAAAACTTTCATTATTGATTCATTTGGTATCATTTACAATGGTTTTTACTAATTAGTGTAACTGAGGTAGTTTGTATGTGCGTACGTGTGTGTATACGTGTGTGTAAAGTATTTCATATCCGTTTATGTGAGTATGTGTATTTTATTTTTTTAATGATAAGTACACTTGGACACATAACTATGGTGAGGACAGAAATTTTTCATATTTAGTTCATTGTTTTGATAAATATATGTAAACTGATTATTTGTTTTTTATTTATTTTTTTTTAGTATACAAAAAAAGGAACATTTGAGATAATAGAGATTTCTTGAAAAGTAGTTGTCAGGACTAAATATAGTTTGAATGATCCTGTTTTTAGTATTTTGATCAGTCTTAGTTGGTATATATAAATTCTGTGTAGATGGCATGAATATAGCTAGTTAGCCAAAAAAAAATTTTATAGGTGAGATGAATCTTGGCTACCAGTGGAATATAGGACATAAGTTTCGTTCTATTTAGAACTCGTCAACTGAACATACCTGGATCCCACTGATAGTGACTATCTGAGATCAGTAGATTAGTGGATAACTAGTTGGCGTTTGAAGTGGAAGGTATTGAGTTCGAGTCCAGGGGTAAACATCAACACTATAATGCAAACACATTCAGATGACGAGTTTGAGACAGGATGAGACGCCTATCCTGGACTTCGCTATTAGCCATAATCCATCAATTCTAAAAAAAATAAAATATGATGCTGAAATAAATATCTCATTGTATGTAAGTTAGGATTGTGACGACAAATATTTGTTGCTCATACCTAACATAGAAGTTGGACGTTGTTTAGCCAATTTTTCACTTGAAGAGATGTATTGTGGTCCGATACACTACCTGTATTTATGATATATATTCTTACAAAGTTGATAAACAATCTGGATAATCCATTGTACATTTAGTTGGTCACTGAGTAGAGGACAATATCACACTTGTTTAGTTCTTTCGTTCTGAATTATTTCTGTTGATAAGGTTGCAATATGGTCACTAAGTGACTTGATATTGTGTGTACTATTTTGAGATGTTAACTGGCTGGAGATGGTTAGAAGGAAAACTTGGAGTTGCATTTAGTGCCAGTTGATGTTCACCAGCACTTGCAATCTTGAGTGAACTAGTGCTTCCTGTGGGATTCAAACCCATACTACTCAGCTAGACACTGAGACATTTCGACTAGCTACTCAGGCCATAGTTCATTCAAAAATTCCGTAGCATGCTCTCAGAGATGACACTGAATTCTCTCAACGTACATACCACTGTAAGCACAGAGGTAGATTAAGTAAATAAAACTGAAGGAAACTAGAGATCTTGAGTCTAGGTTTACCCAAAACTAGTGGATTCTTGGTATAAGAGATTATAAAAACTGTCAGCAGGAAATGACAATGTCATATGGGTTTTTGGTGGACGATTATTCTGCTGAAACTATTTCCTCTGAATAAAATTTACACAAATATATTCCATTTAGAATCAGCAGTTTATTTTAACATAGTGTTTCAGGCAATTTTCCCTTTTACAAATTTGACAAAAGCAAGGATAAACGTAGCGAAATAATATTAATTCATTTATTATGTGGTTTTTATTTAGCTACTTACAACTTATGATCAGTTGTGTCAATTATTAAAAATATTTAGTGCCCTTAGTTAACTTCAGTTGATATCGATGGAGTTTAGTGAAATATAGTTCGTTAATTTTCTTCATATGCGTCCATCGACTTCATCGCGTTAGTGAACGTAACAACCATAATACTCATTATTATTATTACTATAGTAATAATAATGAAGTAAAATACGAGTGTTTTGGTATGCATATACTTCATACATTCGTTAATACGAGCGGATAGTAAAAGAAATTAGTTGGAAAAAGGAAAAAGTCCATACTCAAAATACTACTCGTTACGAGCGTTAACATAACTCTAAACTGACAAGAAATGATGTATGCAAGGTGATAAGGATTGGTTAGCTAACGAACGTCCAGACAAACATTAGGCGTAAAAGCATAGGATTAAAAGGATACCAATAGAATAGGTGCATTTGTCGAATGTCAGTATACCTTATGAAAAGAATAGAGTTATTAAGATGGTAAAGTTGACATAGTAGTCACAAGCTATTGAAGTCTGTTCAAAAACTAAGATAAACTCATATGAATTATAACAAACAAAACAGTGTACATACCACTATCACACAAACAATATTGACCAAACTAGAGTAAATAAATTGATAATTGATAAGGGTAATGGTACCAGTACAAATACCATTATCCAAACACATAACCCGAAAGGGACACAAATGGAACTCGAATTCAATGTTATAAAACGGTTTAAAACATTTTGTTCAACTTGATAACCATATTGAACAATAAATGACACATGACATATTTCATATTGACGATACACGAATATTATTGTTTATGTTAATGGATTAATTTGTAGTTCGGGTTACAAAATCGATAGTTTGATTTCATTGGTTAACACGATTACAGATTTTCATATTTAGACTAATAGCGAGTGATATATAAAAAACGGTACACGTGAAATGGAGTCCTAAAACCAGCTGATCGACAATGTTAAGGAGATCTATATTACGAATTACATATATAATTTTAATGTTTTGGTGAATATATTAAATTGTGAATCGTGATTAAACAAATCGACCTTCTTATCAAACCGATGTACTTTTCCAATTCTACAGTTTGATCTTATTACCACCGCCACCAATAATAATATTGATGATAATAATAATCATAATAGTAATAATAATATTTGTGCTACATTGCGTACTAGCAACAATACACTTTAGGCCATAATTATACAGTAGCTAACTCATTTCTACGTAGTGCGTTTCATCGATAAAAAAAGGAAAGATACAGTTGAACTGTTTAATAATTTGTGCAAAATCCACCCATAGTTATGTAGACATACTGGAGATTTAATATGGGGAAAATTCTTAGTATTATTTCACTTTTTATGTTAAATATCAACACTGTCCATTCAACCCTGTCCTGGACAACCCTTTCCAGTTGTTATGCATCCTTTTCATATCTGCTTTTATTTCCCGACGTAATGTGTTCTTTGGCCTTCCTCTTTTCCGCTTCCTTTCAGGATTCCAAGTTAGGGCTTGTCTCGTAATGCAGTTTGACGATTTGCGTAATGTATGTCCTATCCATTTCCATCGTCGTTTCCTAATTTCCTCTTCAGCTGGAAGCTGGTTTGTCCTCTCCCATAGAAGACTTTTGCTGATGGTATCCGGCCAATGGATGTTGAGTATCTTGCGTAGACAGCTATTTATAGATACTTGTACTTTCTTGATTGTGGTTGTTGTAGTTCTCCAAGTTTCAGCTCCATACAGTAGAACTGCCTTGACATTCGTATTGAAGATTCTCACTTTGATATTGGTTGAAAGTTGTTTTGAGTTCCATATGTTCTTCGACTGTAGGAATGCTGTCCTTGCTTTGCCGATCCTTGCCTTTACGTCTGCATCTGAACCTCCTTATTCATCGATGATGCTTCCTAGGTATGTGAAGGACTCTACATCTTCCAGAGTTTCGCCATGAAGAGTGATTGGATTGCTGTTCTCCGCCTTGAATTTGAGGACCTTGGTTTTCCCTTTGTGTATGCTGAGGCCTACTGATGCAGAGACTGCTGCTACACTGGCTGTCTTCATCTGCATCTCTTCATGTGTATGCGATAGGAGGGCCAGGCCATCTGCGATGTCCAAATCGTCTAATTGATTCTGAGCTGTCCATTGTATTCCGCGTTTTCCCTCAGATATCGAGGTCTTCATAATCCAGTCGACCACCAGAAGAAAGAGGAAGGGGGAGAGAAGACAGCCTTGTCTGACTCCGGTCCTTACTTGGAATGCATCTGTCAGTTGTCCTCCGTGCACGACCTTGCACTGTAGTCCGTTATGAGTTCCGGATAGTATTGATAATCTTCTCAGGAACTCCGCAGTGTCGAGGAAGTTTCCATAACGTTCTCCTATTCACAATGTCAAATGCCTTTTCATAATCAATGAAGTTGATGTACAGTGACGAGTTCCACTCTATTGATTGTTCGACGATGATCCGTAGTGTTGCGATTTGGTCTGTGCACGACCGATCCCTACGGGATCCAGCCTGTTGATCTCGAATGTGGGCGTCTACTGCGTCTTCCATCCGGTTCAGCAACACTCTGTTAAAGACTTTCCCTGGTACTGACAGTAGTGTTCACATTTGCTCAGGTCTCCTTTCTTTGGAATCTTGATGAAGTGTCCTTCATTCCAGTCCATCGGCACTTGTTCCTCCTCCCAAATCTTTTTGAATAGAACGTGAAGCATGTTTGTAGTTACTTCGATGTCTGAATTCAGTGCTTCAGCTGGTATGTTGTCGGGTGCTGCTGCTTTGCCGCTCTTGATTTGTCCGATGACCATTTTAATTTCTTCCGTCGTTGGTGGATTGACATTTATAGGAAAGTCTATAGGTGCTGCTTCGATGTCCAGTGGATTCATGTATCTGGTCTATTCAAGAGTTCCTCAAATTGCTCTACCTATCTGTTCCTCTGTTCTTGAATCTCAGTGATCGGCTTACCTTCTTTGTCTTTGACTGGTCTCTCTGTTTTACTATATTTCGCTGAAAGTTTCTTCGTTGTGTCATATGGTCGTTTAATATTTCCTTCTCTTGCAGCCTTTTCCGCTGTCGTTGCTAGTTCTTACACGAATTTCTTCTTGTCGGCTCTAATGCTCTTCTTCACTTGCTTGTTTGCTTCTATGTATTCAGCTTGTGTTTGGACTTTCTCTGCTCCCGTTCGGCTGTTGTTAATTGCTGTCTTCTTGTTATTCCTTTCTTTGATCTTGTCCAGTGTTTCTATAGAGATGCATTCCTTATAATGATGCTTATGATGAGGCCCAGAACCTCTTGACACGTTCAATTTAATGCTTCTTTGATCCCTTTCCAGATGTCCTCCATAGCAGTTTCTTCTTCATTCAGTAGATCTTGTGAGGCTTTGAACCTGCTGTTGAGAGCTATCTTGAATTCATTGAGTTTATCAGTACCTCGAAGGAAGGCTGTATTGAACCTTTGTAATGCTGTTTCCCCAGTTGTCCAGTGCTTCTTTAGTTTCAGTTTTATCTCGGTAACCACAATCAGGTGGTGATCTGAAGCTATGTCAACTTCTCTCCTGGTTCTCACGTCTTTTGTTGTCCTTCCGAATATATTATTGATGCAGATATGATCTATCTGGTTCTGTGTATTGTGGCCCGGTGAGATCCATGTAGCTTTTTGTGTGTTTGTGTGGAAATATTGTGCCACCTATGACCAATTTGTTGAATGCACACAGATTTGCAAATCTTTCCCCATTTTCGTTTCTCTCTCCCAGTCAATCCGTATCGTCCCATGATATTTTCATATTCGGTGTTGTTTATTCCGACTTTGGCGTTTAGATCTCGCATCAGAATGGTGATGTCCTTTCTTGGAAACTTCTCTATGATTGATTGCAGCCTCTCATAGAATTTGTCTTTATTTTTGTCGTTGCTATCATTGGGTAGGTGGGTGTATAACATTGGATGACATTCATTGTGATCCCCTCCTTCTTTATTTTTAATGATACTTTGATGATTCTGGATCTGTGAGATTGCCATCCTACAAGTGAATTTCGTGCTTCTTTGGACAGCATTAGAGCAACTCCCTGAGTGTGTGGAGCATTTTCCTTTTCGTGACCAGAGTATAGCAGCATCTCCGCCGTATCTAGCCTTTGCTGTCCATCTAGGGTCTGTTGGGTTTCGCTTATTCCCAGTGGTGCCAATTCGTATCTCGTCAGTTCCGTTGCTATTTGTCTGGTCTTACCGTTCTTCCACATTGTCGGCTTTCAACATGAGGCGTCATAACTTTTCTAAATGAAGACCTAACTCCCAGGGCAGAGTTTAAATGGTCTGAATTATTTTTCTGGATGACGTTTTTTAGCGAGTTATTTTTCTACGGGATGGGATCGTCAATCCCATACCCAACTCTCCTTTTTTACCCGGGCTTGGGACCGGCTACAGGTGGAGTTATTTATTTTTGAGTAGTTAACAGATATTTGTCGTGGATGCGCGCTGTTGAGGAGTCTCACAATAGGACGAAACGGCCGTCCAGTGCTCCTAGGTTTTTCATGGTGGTCTAGCTTCAACTGACTCATGATCTCAATTATTAAATATATTTGTCAGTCAATAAAAATAGTTTAACATTACAGACTATTAGTATTATTTATCTTGTCATCTGTTTGATAATAATTTCATATTTTCATTTAAAATCAGGAAACCTAACGACGTTAATATTTCATTGGGAATGTAATAATGCTGAAGGATCATTTACATATACTCATTAGATATATGATTAAGCTTTTAAAGTCTACTTACGTTTGTCGGGTATTAAATGTGATAATTATAATTCATAATTCTCAAAAGTAGTATATTAGACTGTATCACGTCACGGTTGATTTTAAATGTAACATTATTTAGTGTACTCATGTGGATGAATGTAGTGCTAAACGTAAGATTTATAATATACATTATCGTTTATACGTTGTATTGTTTGTCTTAATGGATGAAATTCCAAAACAAGCGTTAAAAATCAAACAAAAGCCTACTTAGATAATCTTAGATAACAGACCTAGTTTGGTTAATTTCAGTTGTACTTAACTGTACCTGAGATAACATGTTCATAGGAAGAATATAAAGGGTATTTTCTGAACAAATCTTAAATGAAATACCGAATAGTTCGATAGTGAATGACTCCACATTTTCCAGCAGTGTCAGGATTGAGCCCGTATCAAGAGTATTTGACAAATTTCTTAATGGATTGGATGTTGGCTAACAGTTTAGAGCTAAGAATGTCGTACAAAGCGTTGTTTATTATACATATTTCCAGAAACCTTTTCATTTGTGTTCGGTTGAAAAACTAACTTAACGTTTGTTCCATAGACTACTGACGTCCGTAGTAATGAAAATCGAACTCTTAGCTCCTAACCTAATGTTAAATATCTGAACAAGCAGAATTGAGTAAACGTATTTGATTCGATTCTGATCATTGCTTATTTTTCTCAACATACAGAAGACTTAGTTCGTAATAATAAATTTTAAAAAAGAATTCTCCATCACCAGTGAAGAAGACAGAGATCAAATTTGATTTCATTGTGGTTTCACTACATCTTTCATTAATAATATAAATTAATGAGTATATATAATTAATATATATTTTAAAAATTCCTCATTAACAGTAACTTTAAACTGCACTAACAGTTCATTGGTAACATTCCCAGAATGATCATTGAATTCTCCTACTTAGGCTTCAGAAGAAATCTTCTTCGATGTAAAACTTGTAGTTAGTCTTATCGACAGCACATATTAATACAAGTCGATGAAATAACTTGAAATATG